TAGGTGGACGGAGTCCTGCAGGCAGGACTGGGCACTTGGAGCAGGAGAAATGGGAGATCCGGAGTCCAGCCCACGGACATGCTGTGTGACCCGAGGCAAGTCGCGGAACGTCTCTGGGCCTCCGAGGCCCTACGTGTGAGGGGAAGATGAGCAAAGCATTGCCCAGCCCACCGCACGGGCCACTGCCGCCATGGACATAAAAGGCCAATGTCCACTCAAGGAAAAAGGAAAGATAAAGCTGAATTCCAAGTACCAGCTGTCATGGGGGCGGGGTGAGGGAAACCGTGAGCTCAGAGGGGAAGCCTGGGAGGGGGAGTCGCTGCCGTGACGGGTGGGGGTTCGCTTTCTCTGAAAGATAGCGATCGTGGGTTGGTTCCATGCTTCTCGAAGATATCTGATGTCAGCATGAAGGGGCCCTGGAGACTGTGCCTTCCTCGTTAACCTGCCACCTTACCGTGGGGTAAACTGAGGCCTGGGCAGCTGCAGACAGGAGGGCTGAGAGACTTATCCGGCCTGCAGCCATGCCTAGTGGCCCCAGCACATCAGGGCCCTCGGCCTGCACTGGGGGGCCTGGCCAGGAAGAGGCCACCAAAGGCTGAGGCATGAGGGGTAGCCTGCGGCAGGGGGGGTTAAAGCACGGGATCCACAACCACGGTTCGAGTCCGGGACCCGGCAGCTTAGAAATCATGCCGGGTAAATGTGCATGCATGCCCAAAGTCCCAGGAGGAGGATGGAGGAGAGGGGACTGGATGATTTCTCTCTCTCCCGTGAGCACTTGCACCCTACTGCAAACAACAGCGACAAAGGTGAGAGGCCAAGGCAGGGTCCCTTGGAGCTGCCAGGGAGGATTGGGGGAGCACTGGCAGGACAGCCAGGACCACCAGGCCAAGGCTGTCCCCACGCTGTCCATCTACGGTAGACCTGGTGGCAGAGAGGCCCACCACCACTCATGCATTCATTCAACAAACTTTTTTTTTTCTTTTTTTGGAGAGCTTTTTGCTATAGGGAGCGTGTGCTGCCTAGAAAGACAGAGAGAGACAGAGAGATAGAAAACTAGAGATCACCCCATGAGGGGGATGGCCACGCTGCAATTCCTTCTCTTCCATTCTCCTCTCGGGATCTTGGGCACGCACACACACGCATCCGGGACTCGAACCGCGGTCGACTACATGGGAGTCCAGCGATATAGCTATTACGCCAACTGCTGGTCCCCATTCAACAGGCTTTTATCTGGCCCCCTCTGTGGCCACCACTCCCAGGTGAGGACCCAGCAGCAGGCAAAGCCAGACAACGCCCATGCCCAGGAGGCTGCTCTTCACCCCCACCCACTCCCCGGCGTGGCGCTCGCCGCACCAGGCCCCAGTATCACACCGTCGCCACCCCCAGCGGACCAGTTCTGGATTCTCGTCCCCAGAATGCAGCTTCTGCTAAATTCCTCGTCTGTGCCCACGCCTGCCGTGCCGCTGTCTGGGCCCAGGCCAAGTCGGGATCCTTCTCCATTTCACATCCCTGATCTCTCCTACAGCAGCCCGGGGAGGGAACGCGGGCAGGGACGGCCTGGCCATGGCGCTGGAGCAGCTCGCCCGGGAGAGGAGACCGAGGCTCTGGGCAGCTCAGGCCTCCTCACTGCATGAGAGCCGGTTCCGGCCAGGAGCTCCCGGCCTCCACGGGGCCTTTACCTTATACTGCCCTCCCTCCAGCCCAGGGGTGCCGTGTTGACTCCTAGTATCTGGTGACCTCCGAGGCACAGAGAGAGGAGGCCACTGTACCTCAGGTCGCCTTGACTTGAAGAGGAGAAGGACTTTGGAACTAGGCCAAAAGGTCATGCTCTTTGCAAAAGGCCGATCAGGGTCCATGTGTGGGCCGCAGGGACCAGGGGCATGGAAGGCGAGGAGGCTGTGTGTACGGTTCTCCCAGAGCTGCCCGGACACGCATGCAGTTCAGCGGCTCAGACAACAGAAACGGGCTTTCTCACAGTGCTGGGCCTGGGAGTCTGAGGTCAAGAGCTGGCCGTCCGGAGGCCTCGCTTCCTAGTTCAGTGATGGCCGCCTCACCCTTCTGTGTGTCTGTCTTAATGTGTTCTTTTTACAATAAAAAATAAAAAAATAAAAACCCTTAAATATATTTTTAATAGCTTATTTCAGTACCAGCAGATGGCATAATGGTTACATCTCTGGACTTCCACATAGTCAACTGTGTTTCAAGTCCCGGACTTGGTGGCTTAAAACCCACGCTAGGTGTGTGTGTGTGTGTGTGCGTGCGTGCCCAAAATCTGAAAAGGAGAATGGAGGAGAAGGGACTGTGGCATGGCCATCCCCCCGGGACTCATTTTTTACTTTCTATCTGTCTCTCCAGAGAGTGCATGTGCCCTATAGCAAAAATCTCTCTCTAAAAACAAATAGCTTATTTATTTGTTCCATGAGTGAGACACAGAAAGAGAGCCTCCACCCCCAGCCTCAGTCAGCCTCCCCGCCAAGCCTCAGTCAGCCTCCCCCCCAGCCTCAGTCGGCCTCCAGTCAGGGCACGAGTGTGCCTGCGTACTCAGAGAGTCTCTGGATGTGAACCCAGGACCTTCTCACATGGGCCAACCTCACAGGGCACTGCATCTCACTGCTGTGCTACTGCCTGGCCCATAATCTCCTTTTCCTTTCTTCTTCTTCTTCTTCTAACTGCACTTGCCAGGGAGACAACGAGGCGCAGATGGAGAGAAAGCATACACATCCTCACCTCCCCAGTGGGGCGCGATCATGCCCCCCATGATCACAAGCCCTTCTCCTCATCTCTCCATCCTGTTGA